CTGTAGTTAAGGTAGTTAGTACTGCATTTTCTCGCCGTCGATGCTTTACGAAGCCGTGGTCGGCCACCGTCGGTTGAACCTTCAGCTTGTTGGAGAAAAAAAGCTTTGCCCACGAAGGGCAGGACGTGAACCACTCGAACCCCCTGAGGGCCCTCCTCCAGCTTTTTGGGAATGTTCGCGCCCCGAGACTTGTTCCAGTACAATGGCACCTCCTGGTACTCCCGCATTTTTGCTAAGCCCAGGCCGAGAAGAAACCAGAAACCTTGCGGCGATATCAACTTAGTTTCAGCTCCCACCCCAGCCCGAGTACGAACACGATAGTTGGGCCACATACATTGATGCCATATCTCCAAAGGTGCCGTTCCAGCGGGGACTGATTTTCTTTTTGGAGCTCGTCTAGCACATTTGCGGATTACTGGTACATCTTCTTTAGCTAGTTCCAGAATCTCCTCGTTTGAGACGTCGGCGTAGTAAACTCCTGTGTCCACCCTAGAGTCCCTCCAGTTGTCCCAGGATTCTTCTACCACCTCCATGCCCCCTTCTGCCCCAGGCTTGCTCCACACTGCTAGCCAAGCTTCACGACAAGGGGGAGCACAGCGGACGAGTCGACCGCCACGTCGCTTCGGCCCGTACCGAGTACGGGCAGCACGTCGAGCCAGTCGCATTGCCTCAGCTGCACGCCCCTTGTGCCAGAGCTCCACCGCCTCGGAAGCAAGCTGAGATCGGAGCCGTCGTGTCGCACGGCGTCGATCAAGGTAGAGCTGGTGTGTTAAATCCTTCAGCTCCTGATCTATGCGGAGGGCCTCCTCAGATGAAGCCTGATACTTGCCACTCCTGACTTCAACTCGCTGTGCCAAGAGACTGCGCCGTCGCGCACAATCCGCTGAGTATTCTGCCCGTATCTCACGAGCTCGAGAAAAGAAACAAGCCTGCCCAGACTCCCATAATATTCGTTCGAGCACCTCAAAGATCTCATCGGGTGAAGCATTATCTCTAAACCACTGCAGTTGTAGGGAATCGCAGCGCGCCTTCGGCGTCGACATGTACTCTGCGCGTCCGTGCCCCTCTCGCAGTGAAAGCATCAGCCGATCAACATCCCATTCATCACGATGAGGTGTGTCAATTACTGCTCCACCGTGCTTCTCATACCGCAAGACCGCCACGATCGGGATGTGGTCCTTTGGTGAGACCCCCCGAATGGCCTGGAGTTTGGCGCCCAAGCGATAATGTGCCCGACACGTGACCACTGATTCATGCATTGCTTGCGGGAGAAAAAGATAATCAATTCTTGAATTACCCGTTGTGCCAAAAAAATCGATTCAAGCTCGGTGCCGAAGGTGTTCCCCGCCACCAGCTCGTGAGTCTCCATCAGCGTCCTCATCTGGTGACCTGCGCCGTTCACATACATTTCTTTGTTCGCGGTGCCTACCACAGGGGAATTGACTGACGCCCACACTCCATCCATACGAGCTTCACCTATCCCATCATTAAGATCACAATAAACAAATGGGGAACAGCGAGCTGGGAGAACTGATAGAACTGCAGCCAACCATGTAATCAGCCCGGCAACCGTTTTGAAAGATCCCCCGTGCTCAGCTCTACTTCTTGGACGGGGTGGAAAGTAGCACACAATACCACACATGTCAACAGAGCCGTACTTCACTCTTGCCGCGACCGCTCTGCCTCGAGCCTCGGGTGGAGGCGCCCATGTACGTATAAGGTGTCGAGCTTGCACCTGCGGGCTGAAGGCGAGGGAGCAGCCACAGCTGTGATTGCTGAACGGCGACGGGAAGTACGGAGCAGAAATACACAATCTTCCTGCACATCGTGAACTCTGCACATGTGGGGCCAACGAATTGTGTTCCACCTGCTGCGTACCCGCTAGAAGAACCAGATCGAAGTTACGTGTCTCTCCCGGGAGTTCAGGATGGCGCTCTCCAGAGGTACGCATGGGATTGAATCCAAAAATTCTCAAAGAAGACATCACCTTACCACCCCTCCCGCTGAACCACAGACACTATTCCCATGGGTGGCGGCCAACGGAAAGCTTCGTGTCGCGCGCGGAGAGCCCCCCCTCTGACAATCTCTCGATGGAAAGGGGCTTGGAGGAGGAGGAGGAGGAGGAGGAGGAGGAGGAGGAGGAGGGGGCCGCGGGCAAGCCGGGCGCGGTCGGGCCACGCCTGGCGTCCTGCCGCCCCCCGCCCATCTCTTCCCGCTGCGCCGATCTCTTGGCTCTCGGTGCGCCGACGGGTGCCCATAGCGGACCTGGAACCCCAAAAGGACCCCCTATCCTGTTACAGTCGGGGCGTCGACCTGAGGAACCCTAAATGAGGAACGAGCCCCCTTGTCCCATAAGTTAAACTTCGATTTCACGTGGGAAACCTCAGGACACCCCAAGGCAAGCTACAAAACAATCAAGGAACACCGAGCCCCTCCCAAACGGAAAGGGTTCCTTCTTCAGCGCCCCAACTGTTTGCACAATCAGATAATTGGAAGCTGTGCACATTGGAGAAGGGGATGGTGGACGATCAAGAGGCAAAGGATGAGGACGGAGGAAGACAAGGGCGAGCATCAGCAGAACTAGCAGGAATAGCAGGAGTAGCAGGAGCTGGAAGAGCAGGAGGGCAAGGGGAAACCAAGGGAAGACGGAAGAGGGGAAGGAGCGAGGTGACAACGACGAAGGTCTCCGATCCAGACTTGTGGCCAGCGCTGGGGAGAGCGCCATTCTGAACCACGGGAGCAGACGTCCATCCTACAATGAGGCCAACGGTGCAGCGGATGCAGCATTGAAACACCGAAACGTTCCAATTGGAACCATATGTGACAAACGAATTGTTGAACTCCTATACGTAACCCAGCATGAGCGAGAAAAGCTGCCCCGCTCGGACACGATGGGGAAAGAGATGGGATGCGCTCGCGACATATCTGACATCCTACCCCTCTCATCCATCCATTCGCTCTGCGCTGACTTTTCTACATCCGCCGACGGGTGTCGTAGCGGACATGGAACCCCCAAAAGGACCCCTATCGCGTTATGAGCGAGCAGAAAGGGGAGATGTGTACGTTCGAGGAGGTGGAGGAGGGGCAGGGGGTGGCGGATGAGCATGAGGATGGGCAGAAAGACGAGAAATGAGGATGAGGAACAGCCGCAGCAGCAGGAGCAGGAGTGAGGGCAGGGGGAGCTGGATGACCAGGGGAAGGCAGAGGACGGGGGGGGGGGGGCGACAACTTCGAAGAGGGACCCCCATTCAGAAACCCGACCCGCGCTGGGGCGACAGCGCCATTCTGGACGACGGGAGCGAAGCAGTGATCCTGAAACGAGGCCAACTACGCAGTGGAAACAGCATTTTGGAAAAACCAAAAAAACTCGTCTTGACAAAAACAAATGCAATTGCCAACCGTCGAATTCCAGCGGGTGCGAAAAACAACATGCGGGAGAGAAACTGGCCCGCTCGGACTGGAACCTGGGAGAGGGGAGAGTGGTAAGCATATCGAGTAATCGTGGAAGGAGGGAGGCAGAGAGGGAGGCAGAGAGGGAGGCAGCATCTGCCACTGCGCGCACCACTGCTCGTGACATTCGTCCTCCTAGACGTCTCCTGCGTACGTTCCGTCTCCTCGTCCCTAGTCCTTGCCGCCGTCCTCCTCCCCCTCTCCCTTCTCGTTTCATTCCCCTCCCTTCTCCTACGTAGTCATCTCTGTCCGCCCTTCTGGTCCTCATCCTCATCCTCATCCTCTTGTCGCGGCTGCTGGTGCTACTGTTACTCTTCCTCCTCCTCCTCCTCCTCCTCCTCCTCCTCCTCCTCCTTCTCGTCGTCGTCCTCCTCCTCCTCCTGCTCCTTCTCGTCCGCCTCCTCCTCCTCCTCCTCCTCCTCCTCCTCCACTCATCCCCTCCAGATCCAGCTCTCCTTCCTCATTATATTTCTCCTCCTCCTCGTTCCTCCCGCATGCCCATGCCTTTTCCCGCCCCATCCGCCTCCTCCCTCGCTTCTCCAGCAGCCCTCCTCGCACTCCTTTTCCAACCCCCTTCTTCCTCGTACCCTTCCAAACCTGTTGTGTATTCCCCCACCCACCCCCCTCTGTCCCTCTCCCCACCCCATCCTCCCCATACAGGGCATCTCTAAAGGCCCCTGGACATCCCTGGAGGCCCGTGGTCCTCTGGAGGCCCCCGGAGGTCCTTCGCAGGCCCAGGAAGGGACAAGCAAGAGCAGGCATCAAATCCCGCGAACCACGATCACCCTCAGGAGGAGGAGGGGGAGGAGGAGGAGGAGGAGGAGGAGGAGGAGGAGGAGGAGGAGGAGGAGGAGGAGGAGGAGGAGGAGGAGGAGGAGCAGGACCCCCGCCACGCTCTCACCCCTCCAGCCGGAGACAGGTCGAGACGCACGCGCGCGCCGCTCCCTGTCCGCCGCCTGCCCGCCCTCCCTCCTCGCCCTGCGCCCCCCCAGGCACAGTCAAGGCTCATACAGTCGGGGCCTTGACCTGAGGAACCCAAAAATAAGGCACGAGGCCCCTCCTTTCCATAAGTTAAACTTCGAGTTCCGATCGAAAACATAGGGAAAACCTGAGGCAAACTGCGAAACACTTAAGGAACGCGGAGCCCCTTCCCAACGAAAAGGGTTCCTTCTTCAGCGCCCCGACTGTACAGTCGGCCTTGATTGGACAGGACACGCGAGAGGACACGAGACCCTCCCGGGGGCCCAATTGCCGTAGGAATGCAGGAAGCACGGGTCGAGAGACACAGGACACAAGGGTATCCTTGCTTTGGCAGGGTCGACCTACCAATCCGGGCCGACTGTAATCAGGATGCTCGGCAAGGCTGCAGGGGCCTGTGAGGGCCACGTTGGCGTCGTCGAGCCGGAGTGCCCAGCGAGGGTCGCCAAGAGTGGGCCGAAGGGGCCAGGATGCAAGGGCAGCCTTGGAAAATCTCCCGCCCTCACGGTGCGACTCGACCGTATCTCCCTCCCTCCTTCCCCCCCCGCTTCTGGCGGGGCAACCCAGCCGTCCTGTTCAGCGTGCGGTTGTAGTAGTACGTGGCCCCAGAATCCGGGTCCACCGCGCTGGCCCACCCGGCCGGGAGCCCCTCCTCGGAGGCGGCGCGGGGCGCCACCGACGGCGACGAACGGGGGGAGGGGGGCAGAGGAACACCGACCCCTCGTTCTGTTTGGGCGTGAGCTCAAGTCAAGCGCTGCCTCCCATGCGCTGCTGGAGCAGAGGAAAGCCGACCTCTCGTTCTGTTTGGGCGTGGGTTCAAGTCGAGCGCTGCCTCCCATGCGCTGCTGGAGCGGGGACCGCACGAAGGCCCGAGCAGAGGAACGATCAGGGGCCAGAGTACACACGGCGGAGGGACAAAGGACCGAGCGAACAACCGAGGGCCGAAAACCCGAGAGGACAAAGCTTACAAGCGACGAGTCAGGTCAGGCGACCTCTCGGGGGGTGGGGCGAGCGAGGGAGAGGAGGGAGGTTGTCATGTAACCTCGTCTCTATCAGGGGGTGCTGGGACCGAAGCTGTGCCCGAAAATCCGCCCGATGGTGACCAGAATCAGCGCCCAACATTCTCCAAACGTGCTCGAGTGTGACCAAATTCGGCTCGACTCCAATACGACCCGGGACTTTCGGTTCGAATTTCGGTCACACTACAGCTGCCGTCAAAGTTCGGGCACGTTGTTGGTCAGTCGTTTCTGTTCACAAGCCTTTTCGGCTGATAGGGGCCGGGCGCCATGAAGTACAGTAGGGGCCCGACCACAACCTTCCACAAGAAACCCTACCCTGAGACCTCAGGACGTCCATTGATTTTTGATGTGGGAACGTCACGCTTTCCATCGCAAAACCATCGGACCCAAAGAAACCCAAGCGCACCCTGGAGGCAAGCACGGTGTTTCTTAGCATGGGCCTCCACTGTATAGATGGGGAGGGAACGCTGGAGAGACGCAGGAGGAGGCCAGGTCAAGGAGGAGGGGTGGGTGGGACAAGGCAGGGGACGAGACATGCGCGGGCGAGCGAGGACACAGACGGGGGTGGGGGAGGGACGACAAAGGCGCGAGAAAAAAGACGAGCGAGACGGAGGAGAAACGGCGGCGAGGACATCCTCCTCCTCAGCCTCCTCCTCCTCCTCCTCCTCCTCCTCCTCCTCCTCCTCCGCCTCCTCGCCGCAGATCCTACGCCTCGATCTCTCTCCTCGATCGTCCTCCTCGTGTCCACCCTCGGCACTCCAGGGCCCGAAATGCCGAACGAACCTCTTCGGCCCTCGATCCTCCCCCTCCTCCACCTCCTCCTCCTCCTCGATCCTCGCTTCCTCGATGCCTCCTATCCGTCCTTTGTGCCACATCATGAGGAGAACGATGAGGATGGAGGGAGGATTCTCGATCGTGATCTGTCCTCCTCCTTCACCTCGAACAGGGACCCCCTCGATCATCGATCCTCGTCCATCCTCCTTCTGCTCCTCCTGCTCCGCATCCTCCCTGCCCAAACATGGACCGAACTAGAACGGGAAGCGCAGATGTTGCTCATTGAGCTTCAAGGGCGACAAGGCGGCGGATGACGAGGACAACAGCGCGGATGACGGGGAGGGCAGCGATGGGAGGAGGACAACGAGTACGAAGAGAAGCACAATCACGAGGAAAATATGAAGAAAATGAGCACGGGGAGGAACGAAGCGGAGGAGGAGGAGGAGGAGGAGGAGGAGGAGTTTCCACCCAGAATGCTGGGCTGGAACGGGGGTGGGACTTGCCGCAGGCAGCTGGGCAGCAAAACAACAAGCTCCATAAGCATAGGTAAATTACTTACCTATGCGTGTGGACCTTGTTGTCCTTACCGTAAGTGCTTACCGTAAGTACGCCTTGGATCTCCGAAAGCGTACTTACTGTAAGTACGCTTTCGGAGATCCAAGAGAAGTCCTTGGATCAGCGCTGGACCCAGAGCCCCTGGCGCTCGGAGCGCGCCGCAAGGGGAGTCGGAGGCGCCGCCACGGGTCCAGCAACGACCCGAGAGGTGCGCGCGAACCTCGAAACAACACCAAATGTATGCGGCTGACAGGTTACGTACCGACCGTCCACGGTTACGTACCTGCACGATTCGCTTAAGCCAGCGGTTACGTACAGTCTGAGATTGCGTGCCGTCTGAGCCGGAGTAGTGGGTCTGGCGCAGATGGGTCCACAGGGAGAGGTGCAACAGTACTTCGCCTGGATGCAGTAGTTTGCGCGCTGGGTGCAGCACTTGCGCGTGGATGCAATTTATGCAGTGTTCACGCTCAACAGTTGCCGCCCGTGCTAAGTGTGCAGTCCCCTGCAGTAGTTGCGCACCTCTTGCACGCAATGATACAACATAAAAGAAAGACTGCGCCAGACCCACCACTCCAGCTTCGATGCTACGCTATTCCTGTGATTGGAGGCCTGGAAAGGGGCACCAACATCAACCAGGGGGTTGCTTCCACAGGGGGGATATTATCCTAGATTTCGGTGTCGGTGGCAATATTTCTGTCACCTTGGAAGCCAGAATGTTACCATCATCACAGAGATCGGGATCTTCTTCCCTCGGTGGAGGCATACCGCCGATATTGGTGCTGATGTCAACCTCTAGGCCTGCGATGTGAGGCAGGAACAGGAACAGGAACAAGAACAGGAACAGAAACGCGCCGAGTCCGCCGGCCGGTCGGCCAGCGGGCCCCTTGGGGGCAGCGCGGGTGGGCCGGGGCCCGCCAACTGCACTTGCTGGACGAAGGCGCGTGTCCCATACGGAGTCCCCCCCAAAGGGCCCCCTCTGTGCTCGCTATCCCTTTGAAAGGGCTTCCGCGGTGCACGCTAATACCCAAGGTGCGGGACGGCGTGCAGCAGGCGGGCCGGCAGCGCCACGTCGCATGCCATCTTGCCAACGCCAACCCTACGTACCGCTGCTTCTTCAATAATCGAAAATACTCACCTGACTATGTTTTGACTATTTTTGAGTATTCCTCCTGCAGAAGGAAAGCCCCGACTTAATCCTCACCCCTGGCACGTTGCGTGCCAACCGCCCGCGATCGGAGGGGCGGGGGGTGGGGGTCAGTCGTGCGGCGCGCTCCGCGCGGCCTCGCAGCGCCGACGTCTCGGGGGTTCTCCGCCCCGACGCCGCCGGATTCCTGCAAGCAGTGCTGGTGCTGGCACCTCTGGGCTCTCACTTGGCTCACCGAGCAATCGGGAGGTTCTGGCGAGGACTCGCCACGGTGCCGCTCGAGGCCGCCCCGTGCGCTGGACGGGTCCAGACAGGCTTCGCCGCGCTAATCACCGCCCATGACCGCCTCGTGCGCTGGATGGGTCTGGCGAGGTCTCGCCACATTGCCTCCCATGGCCGCCTCGTTGCCGCCTCGAGCTGGCACCACGCACACTGCACCGCACAGCTTACACCGCGTAGCTCGCACCACGTCGCTGACGCGTCCACGGTGCAACAACTTGCAGTCTGGGGCCCTCGCCGGTTGACACGCTGGTTGCTCGATCCTCCCACTCTCCCCCTCACCCCCTTGACTCGGCCGGGTTGATGCCAAATCTGCGGCGCCATGGCAGCAGCAGCACCGACACAGCGCGGACCTCAAGGATCTGGAGGCCGCCGTGTACGGAAGCGCCTCCTCCAGCGCTCAGAGCACAATGCCCCTGCAACGAACCCCTCCCCCGTGTGGCGGCAGAACGTGCAGGCAGCGAGGCGACGCAGCGGTGCAGTCAGGCCTCTGTGTGTTGCCAGCCGATCGTGGAAACAACAATCTTCGTCATCCTCGAGCTCCCTCCCCCACTGTTAGATTCCCAGAGGCCTCGATCTCCCCCTCCCCACCTCCTATGGGAATATAACACTGGGGGGGAGCTTCCTCAACTCCCCCTCTCCCCCCTCCTTTGAGACGTGACAAACTACATCAATGAAAACTGGCGGAGGTCAGTGCGGACTTCTTAGAACGGCGCTCGATCCCCCTGGCGGCGCCTCAAGCGCCGCCCCAGGCGAGCTCTGCGCGCCAAAGAGCGGGCTCCACCACCGATTCAAGACTTCCGCGCGGACCTCCGAACGCTCAGGTCTACCATGCGTTTCTTGTTTGACCCCCCCCCGTTACTCAGATGGGGTCACAGTAGCTGGGGTCAGAGGATCACGCCTCATTGCCGATGCATCGCCAATGCATCGCCGATGCACTGGCGACGTCGCCGATGCATCGGCGACGTCGTCGTGGAGAAAATCGGGCCCCACACAGAGTTGCATCACCGATGCATCGGCGATGCGGCGCGCTCCTCCGACCCAATCCACTCCCCAATGGTCCCGGCCGGCCTCAACGGGCCCCCCCAAGTAACCCAGGGCGGTCTCAACTGAAGGGGCCCCAGGACACACAAATAAATACACACAAATAAAAGGATTCCCCAGATTTTCGCATATCTTCTGGGCTTTCGTCTTCCCCCCCAACTTCCCATATTTTCATATATTTTCCTGGGACTCGACGATGAATTGTGTCTGTGTGTTTCATCTCTCTTCCTGATCAACGCCCCCACCCCGTGTGGCGCAGAGCGCCCCAGGGGCGCCGCCGGAGGCAGCGCCAGGGTGCTGGGGGCCCGTGCAGGCGAGCGGGGACAACCCAAAGCGCTGCCCGCGTGCAAACCGAAGCTCGGCGGCGAGCGAGAGGGGAAGCGAGAAGGAGGACGCCTGCCCAGAAGGCTCGGAAGTCTCCTGGCCTTCTGAAGAGTTGTCTGAAACTTCTCGGAAGGCGCAAGGAGCTTGCGTGAAGTCCCGCCGCCTTCTGAAAAGGCCTTCTCCTCTTCACTTCCCCCCCTCGCTCGCCGCCGAAAAGCCTTACAGTCGGACCTAGGCCAAACAACTTCCTTCGAGAACATGACACCCCCCGGCGGCCAAAACACCCCAAACCCCAGGAGCATTCGAAGATACGCCCCCCAAGATGCGCCAGAACGTCCAACAAACACGAAGAACATGAGGGCACCCTCCCCGAACCGACCTCGATCGTAAACCTTGTGGGACGCACAAAGACAGACTAAAACTATGACGCGCGTCCGACCCGAACATATGCGATACCCATATTGTAGTAGATCGTTTCCCGCGCGATGTGGCCAGAAAGCGCCCGCCACGACACATATACTATGAGATGTCTCGGTGGCATCTAATAAAAATACGTTGGGGTGACGCCGACCTCGGTCCCGCTGTACCACTTGCCCTTCCATGGCCCCCTGGCAGGTGGCTCCTCCAGCGCAGCGCCCTGCACGGCCCGCCCGAGCACCTTCGGCAAGGGCGGGTCGGGCCCCCACACTTTGGGCGCCGGCGCCACCTCGGGCGGCTGGGGGGCAAGAGTTTGAGGCGCCCCGATACGCAACACGCATCACGTGGCGTATTGATATGAAGCTTGACACGTCGACTGAAAACGTAGGTCCGACGCCATACGTTCGCCAAAACGCAGGGCCACAATACGTTGACCCAACACGGACAGTACTTACACGGACGTTTTGAGCACGGTACGTGTGGCGTTGCAGAACAGACTTACCGAGGCAGGCAATGGCAGGAACAGTCCGCAGGAGCAGTTGGTTCATCTCTCTCTCTCTCTCTCTCCTTGTTTCTCTTTTTCTCATTTTCTTTGTCTCTGTGTTTTGTGTCTCCGTTTCTCTATTTATGTATATCTCTCTCCCTCTCTCCCTCTCCATCTTTCTCTCTCTCTCTCTCTGTCTCCCTCATCCAGCTGAAAGTGTTGATGGGTTCCGCACATGGACTTGACATGATTAGGCTGTTCGGAAGCAGCATCCAGGCGCCCCTCATTGCAGCGCGTTGACAGGGGATGGCGTTGCAGGTGAACCCCACTGTTGTCGAATGCTTCGGGGTCCCGCCGTCAGCCAGCGGCGCCCGCCAACAGCATTGCAAAGCAAGCTGCCCGACCGAATCACGCGCGACAGATCAAGAGGCAAGGACTGGCGTTTGCAACTTAGTGAATCTGGAAAACAGCCGTGGACCATCCGCTCTCGTACCTCGTTTTGTCCTCCTGCGCTTCCTCGATCGCTCGCAACTATAAACGACGTCGACTTCGCAGCCTAATCGAGCAAATAGGCAACCAGGTGGACGCGGGGAAATAATAGGACGAATGAATAGCGGCCGATACACCCATCAAGGGCCCTCGTCGGCATCGCGCCCAGACGACTGCGCGCTCCAGAGGAACGAAGGGCGAGCTGGGCCTTGGGCGGAAAGGGCGCCTGGAAGGGGGAGAACCAGGGCGGGGGGGGGAACGATGGGGGGGAGCCAGACGGGGCGCAAAGATGGGAAATCCAAACTGGCTGCCTGGAACAAGTAGGCACAAAGATGGAGAGAAGGGGCCCACGGGCTCGGCTCGCGGGGCCGTCGCGAGCAATCGCCCTGCCGGGCGCAGGGATAGTGCTCAAGGTCTCTGGGCGTTAGCTGCGCTGGAATGGTCCACACAGACCTTTCTCGCCGCCGCGCAGGTCCAAAACCGCCGTGGCCATGCAAGATTCATTTACGCATGGCCGCACGGATAACGCTTGGGATAGCCCCCCCCCAGGAGCGGAATCCCGTGATGATGGGCGTGGGGCGCGATTGGGGGGCCGTGTCAATGCTGGGGTTTGAACCGGGCGCGGCGCGGGAGGGCGTCGTCGTCGTTCGCTCGTCGTCGTCCTCGCGCGCGCCATTCTGCCTGTGAAACCGTGGGTGCAAAAAGCCGAAGGATACTGCTATCTTGGCGCAAGTGCAGGTGACCTCGGCTCCTTTAGGGGCCGCGATGCCCGAGGGACAGAAAGGTGTCCTGAGTATCCTGGGCGCGGGGCCTTTTCAAGGGCCCAGGTCGCGCGCCATGGTGTCCCAAACCGCGATCGGCAAGGAAGGTAAAAGAACTGCGCTCCACACCGGCAGTGGTGAGGTACTGATACAAGGAGGGGCGAACATCGGATCCAACACCCTGCACAACTCCTCCTCCTCCTCCTCCTCCCCCTCCTCCCTCCTCCTCCTCCTCCTCCTCCTCCTCCTCCTCCTCCTCCTCATCCTTATCATCATCATCATCATCATCATCATCATCATCATCATCATCATCATCATCATCATCATCAGCAGCAGCATCATCATCACCATCATCATCACCATCAGCATCAGCATCAGCATCAGCATCATCATCATCATCATCATCCTCATCATCATCATCATCATCATCATCATCATCATCATCATCATCATCATCAGCAGCATCGCCATCATCATCATCATAAATCATCATCAGCATCATCAGCATCATCATCAGCATGCTCATCATCAGCAGCATCATCATCATCACCATAACCATCATCACCATCAACATCACCATCATCATCATCATCATCATCATCATCATCATCATCATCATCATCATCATCATAATCATCATCATCATCATCATCATCATCATCATCATCATCATCATCATCATCATCATCATCATTCTTCCTCCCCTCATCCTCCTCCATCTCCTCCTCTTCCTCCTCCTCCTCCTCCTCCTCATCCTCCATGTTTATTTCCATATCCTCCTCCTCCTCCTCCTCCTCCTCCTCCTCCTCCTCCATGTTTCTTTCCATATCCTCCTCCTCCTCCTCCTCCATTTCCTTTTTACCTAACAGCTTTTGCTGATAGGTTTCTAGTAGTCTCAAAAGAGAGCATCATGACTCCTCAGGGGGGTCGGGGCGGGACCCGGAAAGGCTGCCGCCGCGGCTGCCGCCGCACTCGTTTTTCGCAAACAGTCACACACTTCGTGCTCTTCGACCTCCCAGAACTCCATTCCCGGGCCACATTCTGAATGCCCGGAGCCAACTGTAGGCCACTTCGTGCTCTTCGACTTCCCAGAACTCCATTCCCGGGCCACATTTTGGATGCCCGGAGCCAACTGTAGGCCACTTCGTGCTCTTCGACTTCCCAGAACTCCATTCCCGGGCCACATTTTGGAGCCACCGGAGCCAACTGTAGGCCACTTCGTGCTCTCTAGTTCCCAAACTCCATTCCCACATTTTGAAAGGCTGAGGCAGGCTGATGCTGAGGCTGAGGCAGGCTGAGGCTGAGGAAGGCTGAGGCTGAGGCCGAGGCTGAAGGCAGACTGAGAGGCTGAGGAGACAGGCTGAGGCTGAGGCTGAGGCAGGCTGAGGCTGAGGCTGAAGGCAGGCTGATGCTGAGGCAGGCTGAGGCTGAGGCTGAGGCTGAGGCTGAGGCAGGCTGAGGCAGGCTGAGGCTGAGGCCGAGGCTGAAGGCAGACTGAGGCTGAGGCTGAAGCAGGCTGAGGCTGAGGCTGAGGCAGGCTGAGGCTGAGGCAGGCTGAGGCTGAGGCTGAGGCAGGCTGAGGTTGAGGCTGTGACTGCGACTGCCGTTGCCGCTGCGACTGTCATCGCGAATGCGACTACGACTGCGAGAACAGCAGAATTCTACAACTGGATTTCATCTGAATCTTAAGGGGAATGCTTTCAGATATGCGTCTACACATCGCTGTTAGGTTGCTTTGCCAGGATAATCTCCTCTCCTCCTCCTCCTCCTCCTCCTCCTCCTCCTCCTTCCTCCTCCTCCATGTTTCTTTCCATGTCCTCCTCTACTCCTCTCCTCCTCCTCCTCCTCCTCCTCCTCCTCCTCCGCCGCCGCCGCCGCCGCCGCCGCCGCCGCCGCCTCCGCTCCGCCTCCGCCTCCTCCTCCTCCTCCTCCTCCTCCTCCTCCTCCTCCTCCTCCTCCTCCTCCTCCTCCTCCTCCTCCTCCCCTGGCCCTCCCCCCCCTCCTGGACGCCCCCGGGGATAGCCGAGGGCCGGGGCTGGGGGCGCCCGCCGTGCAGTGCTTCATCCACCGGGGCGGCAGCACCTGAAGGGGCTCGCTGCCCTCCTGCACTGACGGGCGGGGGCAGGGGGAGGGTTTGCGCCCTCGACCGCCCCGCCAGAGGGGGGTCAAAAGGACGGGAAGAGGGAGCTGGAAGAGCTTGAGGAGTAGCCGGAGGAGGGGGAGGAGGAGGAGGAGGAGGAGGAGGAGGAGGAGGAGGAAACAGGATGAGAAGAAGAGGAGGGGGAGGAGGATATGGAGTTGGAGATGGAAATGGAAAAAGGAGGAGGAGGAGGAGGAGGAGGAGGAGGAAGAGGAGGAAGAGGAGGCGGAAAAGGAGGAGGAGGAGGAGGAGGGAGAGGAGAGGGGGAGGAGGAGGAAGACGGATCCTGTCGCCTCCAGCTTGTCAGCTCGTCAGCCGGAAGAGGAGGCCTTCAGACGGATCCTGTTGCCCTAAGCTTGTCAGCTCGCTGAAGGAGGACGGGGAGGAGGAGCTGGAGGACGACGGGGGGGGGGAGCTGGAGGAGGACGGGGACAGCTGGGGAGGGAGGAACGAGTGAGGAAAGGAGATGAGGCCGCACGGGGCGCGGAGGAGCGCGCCGCATCGAGAATGCATCGCTGGCGGCGAGCGAGGGGGGAAGTGAGAAGGAGAAGGCCTCTTCAGAAGGCGGCGGGGCTTCGCAGAAACCCTCGCGCATTCTGATAGGTGTTCGGTGTCCTCGCGGAGGGCTTCGAAAACTCCTCCTCCGAAGGCCAGAGGACTTCCGAGTCTTCTGAGAAGGCCATCCCTTCTCACATCCCCCGCCCCCGGGCTCGCCGCCGAGTAATGTCGGCGACGCACCAACGCCATCGGCGTGGCGAAATCTAGGCCCAACATGTTCCTCCGAACCCATTTCCTGGGACCACATCTGGAAGGCCTGGAAAGGCGAGGTCGTCGCTGTTCGTTGCGTGAGGGTTCGGAAGGTTACCGTTTTCTTATTCGGCGTTGCGACATTGGGCGGAAGGGGGGAGGGGGTGGAGTCTGGCTCCGCACCTCTGTTTAATGCGAATGTTTGCAGCAATGCGCCCTATGGGGGAGCGAAACGTGCGTCCTGTGGGGGAGAGACTCCACCTGCTCGAAACATGCGCCAAACACTGCCAAAATCTACTGCATGGGGGGGGGAGGGGGGGGGGGGAGCGAGGGCCCACGCCGATCGGCAAAACAATGCAGGAGAAAACGATCACCACGCGTTCCTCCTGGATTTGGCCACGGTCACGGTGACATTCGCCCGCCCAGCCAGCGGACCGTGTAGGCAGCCCACGCAGTCCGCAAGGGAGTTCGGCAAGGGCCAGGACATCCTCGACCTCAGGATGCGCACGGCCGCACCCGACCGAAACGCGGTGCCAGGGCGAAACGACCTGTACTTTTGTGGTCGACGTGTGCTCCTGGAGGTGTCCGGGCACCTCGGGCAACCACAACAACCCGCGGCCCGCAGCAAAGTCCGAAGCGCCGAACTGGAGCTACTGTGCTACTGCAGCTGCGCACCGCTCAAGGCGAACGGAGAGAGAGAGAGAGAGAGAGAGCGAGCGAGCGAGCGAGGGATAGAAAGAGGGAGAGGGAGAGAGGAGAGACGAGCAAGAAAGACAGAGAAGAGACATGGCCCGACCCAGCTCCTGCTTCTTCGTCGCGGTCAAGCCGCGAAGCAAAGAGGGGAAGAGGAGGGACTGCGCCTCCCCGGAAAGCCAACACTTTGGAGTCCCGTAACGGTGCGGTGACAGACCGTGCGGTGAACTCGAAATCCCCCAAGACCTCACCGCACGGTCCGTCGGCGCACGGTTTCGGGACCCTGGAGGCTCCAGTCGCCCGAGACGTCCTCAGAGAACGACCCGAGTCCCAGAACCGTGCGGTGACCCCGAATCCCCACCGACTCGCCACACGGTGTGGTCACCACACCGTTTGGGGGCCCTCGAAATCGGGAGCGGCCAAGAGGGGGGTGTCCAAGAGGGGGGGGTGCAAATCATGACCGGCGGCATGTGCGCGGCCCAGCGGGGGGGCCAGGGACGTAATGAAATAAGAAGAGGCGCCATGAGATCTGGGGAAATATCATGGCCCACGCCATGATATCCCCCCCCCCCTAATCATCACCCCCCTCTTTTCCGCCTCCGACGAAACACACGGAAGGAGGTCACGTCCCTGGGGCTGAGACGCCGTGGAAATGCAGGGGGGGCCTGCCGTCGGGCCTCTCGCCGCCGCCGCCGCCTGCGCCAAGGGCCCGAAAACAGGGGCGGCGTGGCGAGACTCCAGAGGCGACCCCAAGAGGCAGAGTCCCAGAGCAGGAGGAGGCAAGAGGCAGGAGGAGGAGGAGGAGGAGGAGGAGGAGGAGGAGGAGGCAGGAGGAGGCAGGAGGCAGGAGGAGGAGGCCAGGAGGAGGCTGAGGAGGAGGAGGAGGAGGAGGAGGAGGAGGCAGGAGGGGAGGAGGAGGAGGCTGGAGAAGGAGGAGGAGGCTGGAGGAGGAGCTGGAGAAGATGAAGGTGGAGGAGGAGGAGAGGGAGAGGTGGAGGAGGAGGCAGGAGGAGGCAGGAGGAAGAGGCTGGAGAAGGAGGATGAGTCGGGAATGGACAGACCTCCCTTCAGTAAAACGTGGTTTAGTGAAAACGACGTAAAGCCCAAACCTGGGGGGCGCAAGCCTGGAAAATAACGGCCGCGGCGCCCTCTCGAGAACCGAAAACGGACAATTCACTAATCGACGTGTGACTGTTGGGGGTTCTGTCCGCCCCCGAAGGAGGCTGGAGGAGGAGGAGGAGGTGGAGGAGGAGGAGGAGGAGGAGGAGGCAGGAGGAGGAGGAGGAGGAGGAGGAGCAGGGCTGTCTAGTAAACGCCCTGGGCCAGTCAGTAAACGCCAGTTGTCGGGGTCGGGGTGGATTTTCCTTCCTTGGCGAAGACAGGGGGTTAGGGGGGGAGCTTCTGCAGCACAATTGGCCGCTCCGACCACGCCCTCTCGAGATCTTTGTTTACCACTGGTGCTTGTGGATCGGATGCGCCCTGGAGCTCCGGCAAGGCTACTGAGCATGATCCACCAGGGATCCCCAGAGCTCTATCGAGCACTACATATTCTAGCCCACCAGGGCACGAGGGGCCACAGGCAGAGACCGCGTGACGTTTGCGGAGCCGCAGGGGAAAGCTATCATACCAAGATAAGCGATGACGACGCCGACGCGATCGCCGCCTACACGCTGCTAAACATGGGGGGGGGGGGGCGAGACGGGGAGGGAGGAGGGGAGAGTGGGGCCACTGAGGGGAGGGGGAGACCGAGGCCGAGAGGGGCGTCGACTGCCCTGCGGGAGGGAGAGGAGGGGCCGAGTAGGGGGGGTGAGGGGGGGGCTAAAGTAGGAAGGGGGGCCGAGAGAGGCAACCGCTGGTTTCGCCGACGGCTGCTTTCGCACGGCTGGTTTCGCCCAGCTGGTTTCGCCGTCTGGCGAAACCAGCGGCGAAACCAGCTGCCGTCGGCGAAACCAGCTTCAGTCGGCGAAACCAGCTGCCGTCGGCGAAACCAACTGCTATCGGCGAAACCAGCTGCCGTCGGCGAAACTGATCGTTCCGACCCGCCAGCTAGGGTCCGCCCGCCCGACCCGACCCGCCCGCTAAGGTTCGCGCGTGCTCGCTCGAGCGCGCCTCACACTTCAATGTCATGCCCGCCCGACCCGACCCGCCTGTTAGGGTCCGCTCGCCCGACCCGACCCGACCCGACTCGCCAGGGTCCGCCCGCCCGACCCGACCCGCCCGCTCGGGTCCGACGCCCGACGCCCGTCGCCCAACGCCGACGCCGACGCCGACGCCGAACACGGCGACGACGACGACGACGACCTACTCCGACGGCGACGACGGCGTCGGCAAAACCAGCGCCTGCGAAACCAGCGCAGGCGAAACCAGCCGACGGCGAAACCAGCCGTGGCGAAACCAGCCGACGGCGAAACCAGCGCCGGCGAAACCAGCGCCGGGGAAACCAGCCGTCGGCGAAACCAGCGAGGCGAAACCAGTGCCAGCGAAACCAGCTCATGTCGGGGGCGAGGGGGAGGCCGAGAGGGGCCGAGAGGGGGGGGCCGAGGAGGGGGGGCGAGAGGGAGAGGGGGAGGGGGCAAGAGACAGGGGAGGAGGAGGAGGAGGAGGAGGAGGAGGAGGAGGAGGAGGAGGCGGAGGCGGAGGCGGAGGCGGAGGCGGAGGCGGAGGCGGAGGCGGAGGCGGAGGCGGAGGCGGAGGCGGAGGCGGAGGCGGAGGCGGAGGCGGAAGAGGAGGAGGAGGAGGAGGAGGAGGAGGAGGAGGAGGAGGAGGAGGAGGAGTGCTGCTAGGTGCAAATTGTTCCTGGCTGCGCGGCGCGCGGTTGCACACAGGTCGTGACACCGCCTCGATCGCAGTCCACGCCCCCTCCGTGTCCAAAGTTTGCCTCAATCGGGCACGAAAGCCTTGCAGGATAGAAGAACTAAATGCAGCATTGAACAGTGGGAGGGGACACTGTTTTAGAGCTCGGAATTATATCATTCAGAAGAGCGTTGCGTTCTTGGTAGCGCTCGTCCACCTTGTTGCACGTTGCCAACCACATTGTGTTCGCTGTGTCCAGAGGGGTGGGCCATGACGGCGCTGGTCGCCCACGTGAATGCTGAGCTGGAGCCAGCTGGGCTGAGCTGGACTCACCGAAGCGAGACGGTCAATGATCTTGTGCGCGAATCGGTTTGTAGAGCGTCATGTCTAGCGAACTAGTATGTATGCAGACGCCTTGCCGTAATGCGACTGACCGAACACGTGCTCGTCGTGGAACTTGCAGCAGGGGAGCGAGGAGGCAGACAACGAGGGCCGGGAGGAAGACGCGGAGCAGAGCGACGAAGACGACGCAACGATGACGACAACGACGGCGGCGACGATATCGACGACCCACGGACCTGTCCTTGGACGCGTTCTGCCCAGAATCTCGAGCCTGATCCAGCCGTGTCAACGAGAGGCGCCCCCAGAGGCCGAAAGAATTGCCAGAAAAAGCCAACCACCTCAATCCTCGAACCTCGAACATCGGCCCTGCACCCCGACGAGCAATAGCGGCGGCGGCAGCGGCGGGTTTGCACGTTCTCGACCTCGTCTTCGTCGCCGCCGCCGTCGTCCGTCTCCGCTGTTTCCACCGTTGCCGTCAACGTCGTCATCGTCGTACTCCGCCGTCGTCCGTATCCGCCGCCTCCGCACTCGTCGTCGTCGCCTCCGCACTCGTCGTCGTCGTCGTCGTCGTCGTCGCCGCCGCCGTCGTCGTCGTCGTCGTCGTCGTCGTCGTCGTCGTCGTCGTCGTCGTCGTCGTCGTCGTCGTCGTCGTCGTCGTCGTCGTCGTCGTCGTCCTCTGCCGTCGTCGTCGTCGTCGACAGGGGTCCTCGTCGAGAACCGCCGCCCGCAGGGAGAGGTCCAGAGGAGTCGCGCCCGCCACAAGGCCCTTGGCCGCCGTGGCGCCGGCGGCTCCGGCCTTGCGAGGGGCGGCGGTCGGAGGTGAGGCCCGACCCCGGCGGCCACGGCGGCGGCGTTGAGAGCGCCCTCGGCAGCGGCCGCGGCAGCGAGGTCGAGGACGGCCAGAGGGCCGCGGCGGCGGCGGGGGCGGCCCCGCGCGGGGAGAAGAGGAGGTGAGCCAGTAGCCGGGTCGTTCGCCTCCGCGCTTCGCGCGAAGAGCCATGGGCATCAGGAGCAGCGTCAGGAGGGGGGCACCAGCCCAGGGGGGGAGACATCAAGCTGGAATCGGCGATACATCGCTGATGGCTCGGCGATACGCCCCGATAGCGAAACCGTGCTGTCCTGGGCGGGAAGGGCATCGGCCATCAATGGGCGATCGGGGGTCGATGCCGTCCCACGCAGACCTGAGCCTACGTATCCGCCGCTAACGTTGCCCCTGAAGCAAGTAACACGGGCGGGCGATGCGCTTGACGCCGCGCGGAGCGCCCTGCACTTCCGCGGTCTCGCGCCCACCTCCTGCGCCGTGATGCTTCCTGCTTCCGCGGGCCCCAGAACTTGCCCGACCCCTTCTGTGGAGCCAAATCTTGCTACGGGGCCGATCCCTTCCCTGGGGCCGGTTCTTCCTCCGAGGCGGGCCCCCCCTTTGGCCTCGTGACATCGGCACCGCCAAAGATCTCACCGCACAGTTCGTCACCGCACCGTTCTGGGACCTCGGAGGCCCCAGT